AGCCGTTGGGCAGGGACCTTTAGTCCCGGTTGGAGACACCAACCGGGACTAAAGGTCTCTCTAGTCCCGGGCGCAAAAAATGCCGGGACTAGAGCCTATTTTTGCCTCGGATGAAAGGTCTATTCTCTACTAGTGTCACTGATATTGATGGACATCGATCTGGTGAAAAGTCACTTGATAATCTATGACTCGATGAGAAAACCACAACAAGACTACAAAGATATGATAGATATTATCCAGAGGTAATTTCGGTATCTCTAGCAACTATATATACACACACAAATAGATGATTAACTATATCTGATGACGTGGCAAATTTTTTATTGGGCAGTGTTTGGAAAACCTTTATTGAGAAGCAACACATGGGAAAATGCAAAGCGCCACTGAATGTAATCCCTTTGAAAGTAAGTCCCCTAAATCGCATCATCTTTATTAATTAAACATATAGCTTTCACCGGATCACCAGATTGGATGATAAATCTTTTTCTCGTAAAGTGGTGTCTGAGGCTGGAACAGGGGAACAACTACTGTGGTTACTATGTTTGCAGGTTTATCAAGGAGGTCTCCCAAAGAACTCCTACAGAGAGACTCAAAGTACGTTAAAAATACACTATATATTCATTTAATTATTATTATTGATTGTGTTACTATGTCTTTTTATATATATATATGTATGTACATATATTAATTTATTTTCCTTTAATTCAAACCTGTAGGCTCGATGGTTGGAGGAAAAGGTCATACGACAAGACCAAATCAAAGCAATTCAAGAGTCTATAGCCGGATTTTTTAATGACCAGGTCATCGATTCCAAGGGCGAGTTCTACTTCGACCCAACACTGTCATGGAAGCCAAGCTAGAGGATGAGAGGAAACTTGTTATATCACAACAACTGTAATGCAATCTTTTATAATATATGCACATAAAATAATATAATGTAAAATACACATATGCATGCATGCATGTAAATATATATGATGCATATATTACACATATGCATGCACGGTCATATATATATTTCTATGCTTGAATTGTGTGATTTAATACGTTCATTGTGCTTGAACCGAAACATACTATACGCGCGTATAAATGTATTATTAGCAGCATACAATACGACTTCGAAAACCTATTTTGAAAAGAAAACAAAAAAATAAAAGAAAAGAAAAAGAAAAAAAACCTTTAGTCCCGGTTCGTATTACCAACCGGGATTAAAGGTTGCTGGCCTCGTGGCATGTCAGGAGGCACCTTTAGTCCTGGTTGGTGTTACCCCCTTTAGTCTCGGTTCCTGACCCGGGACTCAAGGACCCCCTTTAGTCCCGGATGCTTGCTCCCGGGTGGGAAATCGGGACTAGAGGGGGTTTCCCACCGAGAGTAAAGGCCGTCTCTGTACCAGTGACATAGTTATCTACAAAACTGCCTTCTAAGTTAATAAATCATTACTTCTCTTTGACTTTGTCACAAACCATGTCAACCTTCTCTTCCTTGATCCAATATGCAGCTGAACATAACTTGATATGACAACCTAAAAAAAATTTGTTGTCAATTCATCAGTCTACTCTTTACCATAGATTGCCTTGCACGGTCAAAAACCACCGAACTATTTAGAGTAAGGGCCAATACAATGCAATAATATGTGGCAGCGCACTTTTGGACAATTACGACTTAGGTCATTTCTAGTAGTATGTTTCATCGCACTATTTTCAAGAGAACCATGCAAGCTAAAAAGGTGTGGGGTGGTAAAATAAAACAAGACCCACACAACATAAGTTTATTTTGCAGTCTCATATATAGGCATACTGTAGCATTTAAATGTTGTGTGGTGTTATGAAATAAAACACTTCTAGCGGAGTTTCTCTCATTTTCCAATGTGTGTGGATGAAACGAAACACTCATGGTGGAGTTTCACTTGTTTTCCAATGTGTCTGGATGAAACGAAACACTCACAATGGAGTTTCACTCGGTTCCCAATGCATTGGAGACGGTGTGCGCTGGGTTTCATATAGATAAAACTCATCTCCTCTCTCTCCTCATGATTTCTATGCCGTGTCATTATTTTTTGCTAATGTGTCATCTCACTAGATGAAATTCACACTACATACTAGCCATATTGAAACCATTCCACGGTAGTGGCTAGGAAGGGTTCTGGTGGGTGCTTACCGTTACAACCGTGGACAGTATACTTGGGGGTCGCCACTAGGCCAAGTGATCAACAACTTGCATTCCTCAAAGGATCCTACATAACAATCGACATAAACTCATGAGCATGGATGCTTGCATTTACCTATAAACAACGAAGCTTGTGTTGACTCTATTAACCAGAAATTTTGCAGGCCTTAGCATCTGCAGGAGTTGTGTATGCATACATTCATAAGGTTAATCGTGTGTGGGGAGATTTCCCTTTTTTAGACAATGGAAACATCCGGCTTCAACCTTCTCTTCAAAGAAGAAGCATCATCTCAAACTTATTACAAGTGCGCATACACCAAGGCTTTAAAATTATTGCAGGTTTGAAAGTAAAGTCCAAAACAATAACTGAAAGACCATCCATTAGATGTAAGAAACTACATTGATCTTGATTCTAGTAGCCTACCAGCCTCGAGAATCTATTCTTTGTCTCCATCCAGGCGTTGCAATAGAGCCAAAATTGAAGCCAATGTGCCCCTTGAAAAGAACCTGAAAAAGCTTTTTAGTTGACTTTTAACACGGTGTCTTCTCTTGTGATCCAAATTGCCCAACAAAATTCTATTGGCCTAGAAAATATAGTTGAATATGTTAGTGATAACTCAATTTTGACCAACTATCAAACAGATGATTGGTATTTCATGGTGATTGGGTACCATACAAAACAAACACTAAGGACCCCTTTGGAACAAAAGAGTTTTTCCTGCATTGTACAAATCATGTGAATTTCTGCATTCCAAAGGGGCCCTAGCATGCTATAAGGAACCGGGTATAATGACAATTAAAAACAATGTTAGATAGTTTTAGGTTTACAACAGAAACAGCGGGTCTTATTACTACCATTTGGTTTAGGTGTGGGTGTTTTTTTCTTCTATGTATCATGTTCTGAAAAAAACAACAATTAACCAACTAGCAAATAAAACTAGTAGGAAGAAAAGGAGCCCACGCATGCCATTGACATATACTCCGTATATATATGGCCAGGAGGGTTATTTCGGTAAATTCTGTGGTGTGGGGGACTCGTGCCAGAGCGTGGCGCCCACGCTCGTGCTACCCTCCCATCCAGTGTCTGCCACTGCCAGATATGCCCAGATCCCCGGTGCGGTCGGCCGCGGCGAACGAATCGTCGCGTTCGCTCGCTCGCGCGTCGTCCCAGCGACCCAGCCTGACGCAACGGACCGACCGCAGAAGCGGGTGCCCGGATGGAGCCAAGGTACGGCGGCCGCGAGCGAGAGCGTGAGGACTCGCCGTGTGTCCCTCGCTCTCCGCTCCCAGCGATCTGGGCGCCCCGCGTGGTCCAGCCGCGGGTTGCTCGGCTTCCCGTCCTTGTCGCCAAACCAAAACGACTCCAAACTCGCGACTTGAGCTGTTGATACCTGTGGGCGCCCGAGGTCTCCGATCCATTTGAGCGGTTTTGCTCCCACCTGCCACTTGTTTTTGCCTTGTTTACTACTAAAGCTTACTCACTGTCCCATCGAACGTTTAACAAATACATAGAGTATTAAATATAGACTAAAAATAATTAATTATACAGTTTGCGACTAGTTTGTGAGGTGAATCTTTTAAGCCTAACTAGTATATGATTTGATAATGTGGTGCTACAATAACACATGTGCTAATGACGGATTAATTAGGTTTAATAAATTCGTCTCACGTATCATTGACGTATTCTGTAATTTATTTTTTATTAGTATCTGAATACTTCATATAACACATCATATGACATCTGAATTGACGTCATAAAACTTTAAACTAGTCACTGCCTATTCGCCTTTTCGATCCAACTTGGTAGGAGACTAGGAGTTGTACGTCTCTTTAATCGTATTACTTCCCTGTTCTCGTTCTCTTTGTAGGTTCGACGCCGATTTGTTGTTTCGCACATGTCCTCAATCATCGGTTAAGAACGTGAGATCATTATTAGCATCAGAAATCCTTCTTTAAATTATATTACTGAACTCTATAAATGTGTGACTAAATACTCCTCTCTGTTATAGAAATAAACTAGTTTATCAATCCGTACTCTCGCACTGATTAGAATTTTATATTGTTTAACAATCCCTACATTCCAAATTATAAGAGGTTTTGGCTTCTATAGAAACATTTATAGAGTATTCTATAGAAACCTTTAATTTAAAGGGTATAAATGGAATAGAATAACCAGTTGAAGGGTAATCATACGACTGTAATGCATTGTGAACCTGTTCGCTTGTCTTATAATCCATACTTTTTAGCTTGTTTTTTCAGCCAGAACAGTGTTTTCTCTCACAACAAATCAGCCGGAACAGTATTTTGACTTATTTTTTCAGCGAAGCGAACGGGGCCCGTATGTCCCAGAATAGGTCCCATTCTTCTACCCTTTTCGAGTAGTCGATGGCTATTCACATTTACTACCTTAACACCAAAGAAGAGTTCGACCCAATGCTTTATTTCTGTCTTAGTGAATCCCGATTCGACATTAAAAGTATATTGATTCTTTCCCAATAAACGAAGACTCTTTTCTGTAAATACTGCGTATTTGATTCCATTATCGTACGATAATACTATATTTTTATTTATATTTGTTTATTGTATTATACCTTTATATATTCTATATATCTAGAATAGAAGAATCTCGATTTGTCAAGTCTCATGATCGTATCAAGATCTATTTAAATTCGGCTCAGTCTTTTTTTTAGAAAAGATTGAGCCGAATTTAATTGCAATCAATTAGAAGAATAAAGAAGAATTACTGCATTTCTTAACTTATTTTTTCTCTTTCTATTTTTCTTCTTTTTTATTTTATTTAGACCTTCTTTATATCTAGTTTTATCTACTTATATCTATAAGGTATCCATCGCTTTGAAAGTATCAAATTTGATCTCCTTCCATATTTCACAAGCTGCGGCTAGTTCAGCACTCCATTTGCAAGCTGCTTTGATAATTTCATTACCTTCACGAGCAAGATCGCGCCCTTCGTTACGAGCTTGTACACAGGCTTCTAAAGCCACACGATTAGCTGCTGCACCAGGTGCATTTCCCCAAGGATGTCCTAAAGTTCCTCCACCAAATTGTAATACGGAATCATCTCCAAAGATTTCGGTCAGAGCTGGCATATGCCAAACATGAATACCCCCTGAAGCCACCGGTATAACACCTGGCATGGATACCCAGTCCTGAGTGAAAAAGATACCGCGAGAACGATCTTTTTCAATAAAATCATCGCGCAATAAATCAACAAAACCTAAAGTTACGTGTTTCCCTTCTAACTTATCTACTACTGTACCGGAGTGGATATGATCTCCCCCCGACATACACATTGCTTTAGCTAATACACGGAAATGCATACCATGATTTTTCTATCTATCAAAAAAATTATATTAAATTATATTTTTTCTCTTTGTTTATTTTTTAACACAAATAGACATAATAGATACTCTGTAGTCTATATCTAGTTATCATAATATACTTATTAATTACTATCTTTCAAGGGACTAATCTATTTTTCATCCATATTCACTTTTTTCCTTTGCATGACACCTACTTATATTTTAAATATACAATTACTTTGAAACCTTACCATTAATTATGGTGGCTCTTCTTGCATCACATACCTTATGAAGTCATGAATCTAAATTTTGATTTTTCAAACTTTATTCTTATTGACTACTATAGATTTTTCTCTCTCCTCAAGTTAAGTTGAAACACTTGTGCTTATTGTATCTTCTTTAACTCTATTTTTCACCTTTTTAAAATAAGGATTTAGGCTGTAGAGTACGTTCTTAAACACTATAGTAGCATAAGCCATCATTTGAAAGATACACCGTGTCTCTTAAGATAAGTCATAGAGCCTGAAGTGAATATCGGATGGGGGTATCAGTGCTATCCTCAAGAGAATTTTAATACTTAAGCTTTATAATAACTTTTACTCTAAAGTATTCTTAAGAGACTAGGAAAATATGGCCGCTCAGCCGTGTGCTCGTGTCATGCTTTTGTGTTCCGATTTCTTACGGGTCTCTCCTCCGTGGGGTGCCCTGCTTTCCCTTTTATAGGTGGAGGGAAAGCGCAGGTTACAGCGGAGGAAGAGGAGAAGAATGAGAGAGAGAGAGAGAGAGGGAAGAAGGCTTCTAGGGTCGCCGGGTCCTTCTTCTCCTTCATGTGGGTCCCACCAATCCTATAGATGTCAATAGGGACGGCTCCACGTCGTGGCCCTGTTCATCACTGGTGCCATGCGCAGGCGTCATCTGCCGGTCATGGCATTCCACTTTGTCCCAACGGACGTCGTGGTGAACTAACGCGCTTGTCAGCGTCCGTATGAGGGTTAGGCAGAACAGCACCGGCATGCCCGACACTATTCTTGATGTGAATACCCAGGTATGGCCCGTTATGGTGACAGGTTACATCAAGGCATGCCAGTCTCTTCCCTGATGTCAGAGTTTTGACCCAGGCCCATACACTTGGACCTGGAGTGGTTGGCGATGGTATGGGTCCCCGTCGGATGAGACAGAAACCGCATCCTTGGGGTCAGGTGAGACGAAGCCCGTGGCCTTGAGGTCGGGCGAGACGGAGCCCATGGCTATAGGTGAGATAGAAACTACATCCTTAGGGTTAGATGAGATGGGGCCCACACCCAAGGGGTTGGGCAAGACAAAAACCATGTCCTTGGGGTCAGGTGAGATGGAGCCCGCACCTAAGGAGTCGGGCAAGACGGAGCCTGTGGCCTTGGGTGAGACAGAAACCGTGGCCTTGGGGTTAGGCGAGAAGAAGCCCGCACCCAAGCGATCGGGTGAGACAGAGCTCGTAGTCTTGGGGTCGGGTGAGATGGAGCCTGCACCCAAGGGGTCGGGTGAGATAGAGCCCGTGGCCTCATGGTCAGGCGAGACGGAGCTCGTAACCAAGGGGTTGGGTGAGATAGAGCCCTTGGCCTTGAGGTCGGGCGAGACGAAGCCCTTGGCCTTGGGGTCGGGCGAGACCTTTTAATACGTCTTGCTCCATCTGGGGAAGTCATTGTGGGCGCTAACTTCTTTGCTTTGGGAATCCCTAATATCGATACCCGACAGTAGCCCCCGAGCCTGCGGGGAAGTAGAATACTCCTTTGGAGGCTTTTCCAGATGGGAGGACTCTGAGGGCCTTGGACTTCTTTTCATAGCCCGTGGCATGTCATGGTAGGACGGCGATTCCCTTTTGTCGTGATCGGTCTTCTTGGGGCATGTAACCATAGGATTCAGGAGGTCGGAAAGATTTTTCTTGATTCTAGTCCCCTAGGATCTAATCGGTCTACCGTCATCATGTGACCGTGCATTCGGTCTCCTTGTGAGTCTAACTTCCCTCGAGCCCCCGCGCGTAGCATGGGTCCGGTCAATGGTCGGCTCATCTTTGTGATCGTTATCCTTCCAGCGCCTTTTTTGATAAAATGATGGGGCTGAGCCATGCCATGTTTTTCCTTGATGGACGAAAACATGATGCTCGGTGAGCTGTTAATGGGCTAGTCCGAGTGGGGTCTCGACTTCCCATTCGCGGGGGTCCGGTATGGGTCAGCTGGTGATCGACTCTAGATTCTCAGTGGCCAATCCATATAGTTCTTGGGTCCGTTCGACCGGTCCCAAGGGCTCGTTGCCTTTCTTCGAGGAAAACCATAGACTGAGAATCAACCAAGACTTGAACGTGGGCCAAGATGCCCACGACGCTAGTGCACCCGGGTACTGGCTACTAGTGCGTTCATCCCTTTCCACCCCTTGCTCTAAGGGTGCCCTGGAGCAGCTGTGAACCCGTCGAAGGGCCAGCCTTTGAACTCCTAGGCCTGAATGGGCCGTAAGAGCATTTTTAGCTCTGTATCCCTCCTAACCTGCGATGGTTCTTGGCCCTTCGACCGGGCGAACCATCATCCAGCGTGTCCTTCGAGGGCGTGGCTAGAGATAGCGTGTGCACGATCTTCGGAGGGAGGTGATGTGACGTGGCGCAGCAGGCGCATGAACTTCACTGGATGGTTTGCCTTCTTGCCTCGCTCTGTCCTATAAATAGCGGCCTCCCGCTTCATGTTTCTGCATGCCAAAACCACAACCTTACCTTCTCCGTTTCTTCGCTTCTGCCATTCGGATCTGCTGTGCTTGTTAATCCACCGCCGGGGCCCTAGATCTATAGTTTCTGCTTCTCCACCACCGCCTTTGTTTCTCCACAGCCGTCTCCATCCTCCATGGATTCGTGATACCGCTCTAATGTTACCCATGCATGGATGGAGGGCCTCGTCAAGCGTGGTCTTCTCCGTGGGAGGACTGATGCAGTGGTGTGGCTTGTGCCTAACCTTGAGGATGCACCGTCATCGCCTGATGGCTACGTCCTCTCCTTCACGCCCTTTCACGAGCGCGGACTCATGGTTCCTCCCCACTCGTTCCTTTAGGGTCTGCTGCACCACTATTAGATCGAGCTGCAGCACTTGAACCCTAATGGGATCCAGCACATCATGGCCTTCATCGTGATGTGCGAGGGGTACCTAGGGATCGAGCCCCACTTCGAGCTATGGAGATAATTTCTTCTCCATATCCTTGATCAAGAAGAAGGAGAGAGGTCGAGAGACCCCAGTGCCGATGGGATGTGTGGGCATCCACCTCCAGCGGCAGCGGGCGGCCAAGTACATGCCTTGCTAGCTCTCTAGATCCAATAAGGGGTGGCACTCGCATTGGTTCTACCTGAAGGACGACCTTGCCGCACCCTTGCTTGTCTTCTACGGGCGTCTAATCAAAGAGGTTCCGCCATCATGGCCGTGGGGGCCATCCATTAAGGAGAAGAAGAGGATGTCTGGCCTCCTCGAGGCCATCATGTTCCTGAAGACCCACGGCCTCTACGGGGTCAGTGTCATCGAGGGGTATCACATGAGGAGGGTGGAACCCCAGATGGCGCACGTCCTCCCGCTGTATGGGATGACGCCCGGCACATAGCTCATCGGGACGACGCTCGCCCAGGGGCTGCTCCACGATAGCAAGGTCGCGCAGCGCATCAAGGAGGCCACGGGGATGGCCAACGCCGTGTTTTCGATCTCGGGGCATCCCATGATGTGGCTGGACGCGGGCTTCAACAAGCTACCGGTGGGGTTAGTCTTCTAGGACTCCATCACACTGCTGCTAGAGCACGCGGCCGTGAAGGCGATGAATCGTGCCACGGATGAACAAAGGAAGAAGAAGGATGACAAGGAGAACAAACGGCGGTTGTAGCAATAAGCGAAGCTGCAAAAAGGGAAGCGGCATCAAGGTTCATCGGGAGAAGAGTAGGAAGAATAAGAAGAGGAGGAGGATGAGGATGATGGCTCCATGCCGCCCATCCCATGGGATGATCTGGCCACCAGGGACGAGGACCTGCCTTCGCCATAGGCGGGGCCCTTCCTGCGGCATGCCATGGGGCAGGAGGGGAAGGACGCACCCTCGGAGCTAGCGAAATCAAACCACCCTGCCCCGTTCGGACCTTCGATGGCGTCCTCGAACCGGACAAGTCAGGCCACCTCGCCTCATCCGGGCCTTCGATGGCGGCCCTGGAGCCAGCAAAAATAGATCGCCCCACTCCACCTGAGCCCTCGGCGGCACCTTCGGAGTCGGCGGGAGGCGGCCGTTCTGATTTGTCCAAGCCCTTCGAGCCGAGGGAGGGCTTGAAGCGGTAATGTGCCAACGAGGAGCAGCCGAGGTCGGGCAAGCTGACCCCAAAACGTCCTCGTATGATGGCTTCAAGGTGAGTCAAGAGTTTTTTTGTCCTTTTATCCTAACAAATTTTTGCTATGAACTGACCACCATGTCCCTTGCAGCGTCAGAGGATGTGGGACTCTCCCATGGCTCGCTCCAAAAAAGATCCTCCTTTGACAAACGCGCTAGGAGCAGGCTGGCGTCACACCGGTGGAGGGCATGAGTGTCGTTGGGGTGGCCACGACATCGATTGGGGAGGCATAGCCGATGGCTGCATCCATGGGAGAGCAGGCAGAGGAGGGCGCGTCCATGGTGCCTATTGCGGGTGCGGCGCGGCCAGTCATGTCCTCGATGTCGCAGGCGGAGGCTGCACAACCGGAGTCGTCATCTAGGTAGGTGGTCGTGTCCACGACAGGGAGGACAAAAGGGGGCACACCTGAGGCATCCATCATGGATGTGGCGATAGGGAAGGTCTCTGTGTCTGCGTCACCCACCCC